AAATAATTGTAGTGTCCAAAAAGAAAGACTTCAAAAGCTAAGGAAAAGGAATGAAGGAAAAATGTAGAACTTCTGTCGAAAAATCGTAACAAAAGAAGAACAAGAAGAAAAATCATGGAAAAGAAGTCATTCGTAGGACCATCATTCACCATCCTCGTGCATTTTCTTTGCATCTTTCTAGACATTTTTGAAAGAGCCAAACATTAAAAGTAGAAAAAGCCTTTGAAGATATTCGACCATGAAAGCTAGATACTTGCAGCCAAAACTACATGATTATTGTTGGCAAATCTGGCGGTAAAATAAAAAATGAGTAAAAATGAAGATAATATGGACATAGAGTATTTTACATGGACAATCTTTAAAGAAAACGGGATAAAAACTACGGGACAAGCGTAGAAAAATTTCATTATGAAAAATGGAGATTACAACACTCTTTATAAATTATACGGAGAGAACAATAAGAACTACTCTCTCATATAAATAGGAGAAACACCTCACAAAAGAAGAAAAACAGGAGAAACTAAATTTTTGTCACACTATGAGAATTCTCTTTGAAGGGTGAGAATGAGATGCTTAAACCCATCCTCCAAGCCCCATTATATAAGCTCCAAGAACGAATCATGGCCACGAAAAAATTTGTGGCTATGAATTGTCCAATTTGTGGCTATTCATTTTACTTGGCCAACATTTAGCCACTTAGATAAATCTAGTCCACACAATTTTGTAGACTTGAATCATGGGCCTTGAACTTTACCAATTTTAGGCCTTTAGGCCTAAGCCTAATCTAACATTTCTCCCACTTAGAGATTTGATTGAAAATTAATCTTGTCTCTGCACCATCCTTTCTACCTTGTCACTATCATGCTGCTTACGTTTTTGTTAGGCCACACGAGAATCTACACCACTTGAACTTATTATTATTTACCGGCTTGGTCAACGCATCTCCTTGGTTCTCCTTGATGTGAGTCTTCTGCATATCCACTCTTTTTTCTTCTACTACTTCATGAACAAAGTGAAATTGAACTCCTATGTGCTTCGTCCTGGAATGAAAGGTTGGATTCCTTGCAATGTGCAAGGCGCTCTGACTATTACAGAGCAAAAGAATCTTCTCTGCTTTGTGCCCAAGCTCCTCCAATAACCTTTCAATCCATATTGCTTCCTTGTAAGCTTGTGTAGTCACCACGTATTCTGCTTGCAGATAACACCAATACTGACTGCAGTTTTGAAATCTAACTTACAGCTCCTCCTGCAAGTGTGAACACATAGCCCGTAGTGGATTTTCTTTTATCTTAATCTCCTGCAAAATCTGAATCCACATAGCCCCTAATAGTAAACTCCGATCCTCTGTAACATAATGCAACATCTGAGGTACCCTTGATGTATCTCAGGATCCTCTTAACAGTACTTCAATGCTCTTTATCAGGATTCGCCGTGTACCTACTAACCGCTCCCACTGCTTGTGCAAAGTCTAGTCTTGTAAAAATCATAGCGAACATTAAGCTCCTCACTGCTTATGCATATGGTACTCGGGACATCTCTTTCCTCTCCGCTTCATTGCTAGGACACATCTTTGAGGATAAATTGAAATTAACAGGAAGAGGGGTAGAGATTGGCTTAGAGTCTTGCATGTTGAAGTGCTGCAAAACCTTTTTCAAGTAATTCTTTTGAGAAAGCCAAATCTTTCTTTTTTTTTTGTCTCGGTAAATTTGCATCCCTAAAATCTTATTTGCTGGTCCCAAGTCCTTTATATAAAATTTCTTGGCCAATTGTGCCTTCAATTCTTGGACTCGATCTTTGTTGGGACATGCAACCAACATGTCGTCCATGTACAACAGCAAAATGACGAAATCTCCATCACCAAACCTCTTGATGTGCACAAGGGTCTGCACTGAGTCTATTGTACCCAAGGCTTATGATACAAGAATCAAATATCTTGTACCAACACCTCGGTGCCTGTTTGAGACCGTACAAAGATTTGTTCAACTTGCAAACCAAGTTCTTTTTTCCTGCTTCTGCAAAACCCTCTCTCTAAATTACATAGAGAGAACAATAAGAACCACTCTCTCATGTAAATAGGAGAAACACCTCACAAAAAAAGAAAAACTGGAGAAACTAAATTTCTCTCACACTATGGGAATTCTCTTTAAAGGGTGAGAATGAGATGCTTAAGCCTTTCCTCCAACCCCCTTATATAAGCTCTAAGAACGAACCGTGGCCATGAAAAACTTATGACTAAGAATTGACCAATTTGTAGCCATTCATATTACTTGACCACCATTTAACCACTTCGCTAAATCTAATCCACACAATTTTGTGGGCTTGAATTACGGGCATTGATTTTTGTCAATTTTAAGCCTAAGCCTAATCCAACAATTATATCATCCAATAAACACTTGCACATATAAAAATGGAACTTACAAGAAAATTATAGTAATTCCATATCATGTTATTCAGGCAAACTTTTTTCCAGCCCAGGAACGAATGGGGAAGTTTATTTACAATAAATTGAAGAAAAGAAGGAAACCCTTTTGCCACCAAAGGAGAACTTCTGATTTTTGTTTACAGTAACAAATATAAAATGATGAGCAACAAGAAGAAAATGATTTCCCTTAGCCTTCAACAATTTTCACAGGAGTTCTGCAAAAACATAATAGTAACCTTGAGTTATCTGTCATATATATGCCATAATGCAGACATTTACACTTAACCATTACTTACCCAAATGGACTCTGCTTGATGGATAACAGTTCAACATCCAACTGCAGATTCAAAGCATTTGCAAATCAATAAACATGCAGATAAAGAAAGGTGGAATAATGGTCAAGAAAAGGAAGCTAAAAGGTAAATATCAGCTGGAGAACTCTGTGGTAGGACGTATGGTACCCTATCATTATCCATGAGATCACCTTAGAATCATATTAGATTAATAAAAATGTGACGATTTAACAGAACTTGATGAAAATCCTGCCATAAAAAACTGTGACCTACCGATAGGATTTTAAATTTTATACTCAGAGTTTTATAGTCAACAAATGGAGAGAATTTAGTTCAAGATGGGCAGTTTAAGAAACAGAACATTTTATAGTCATCCAACCTTTTCTTTATGGACTAAGATAACACATTACCTCTATTGTGGCATTTGGAGGAATTTCCTGGACTCCTTTCTTTCCATAAGCTAGTTCCGGAGGTACAATTAACAATCTCTGGAGAACAACAATTACACAAACACTTCTAAAAGGACTTCTCATTGCTGCCTCAATAGATACAACTAAAGCTCATCCATGTAAACAAAATTCTTCTTTAATTGCAGTTTCATGCAGGGGCGGAGCCACCCCTTCCCAAGGGTAGGTGGCCGCCTTGCCTGAATTTTCTTTTTTCTTTTTTCTTTTAATTTTGTATGTGTATTTCGTTAATATTTGTAGTTTTCCCCCTCCCTCCTAAAAATGTGAAATTATTTGCCCCTTAAAAATTTAGAATTATATGTCTGTCCCTTCTCACGTGATGTTCTGGCTCCGCCCCTGGTTTCATGTGATCTCAGTAAAAAAAAAAAAAAAGATGAATCAAGCTATTACCCTTTTTTCATGTTCTAAAATCTAAACTTAAGCTACAAAAATGCTAAGAGACAAATGAGTAAATTTCATTCCAGAAGAAACTGGTCTCACCTGGCCTCCTACCCGCATGCCTTCTACACCGAGATCTAATCCCTTAAGGACTGAACCTCTCTCAGATTGGCCAACATCAAATCCATATGGCTGCAGAATTCAAGCATAACCACAATAAGATACATAACAATAAGTTCTTTGGAAAAACATCTTAGACACCAAGTATTTGATTGCTTAATGAGACACCATTTTAAGTTTCATTTACTGACCATTCAGAAGCTACATGACTATATCATATGTATCATAGTTCTAGCATGAAAATCTTGGGATCTTAACTATTACTCAAAATTTCAAACTTTTTAATACCAACTCACGTGACATATTAGAATTTTAGGCAACAAATAGATGACGAGAACTTCCGTGTCGTCATTCTTCTAAATGACAAATAAACAAATGACACCATACTTGACACTTGCTATCTGAGTTGGTGTTAAAAAGTTGGGATAATAGTTGAGACCTATAGAATCATTCTTCTAATTATACACTTGGACTAAATTAGAATGAAATACTAAATAGATTTGAAGGCATAACACCACTTTGAGCTCACCGTTCCTCCACCAACACCAAGGCCTTGTCTGCTTGTCATAAAAGTGATGCCCCTCCATTTAGCAACATAGTGAACCTACAACAATAACGTCTTAGATTCATCACACTTATGAATTTTTAGGGGCACGGATAAACTTAATAGAGAAATAAATAAGAAATAAATAAGAAAAAAGACAGACAAGATCAAATTAAATTTCTATTATAATAGCTTAAATACTTTAAGTACTTGTATATATGTATAGTTAAAATAATGAAATTTAACTGGACCACAACCGTACTGCAACCCGGGATCCTTTCTTTGCCTGAACTCCACTCCCAACCTTCAAATCATAGTACCTGAGTAAGGACATACATTACCCTCAATGTTTTAGCATAGACATAATTTTAAGAAAAGACACGAACCTTTCGCAAAAAAAAAAGTATACGATCCAATTAAAAAGACTGGCGCAATTGAATTAAGGGTTGTTGGTTGAACCTATGACTGTTGTGTGCAGTCTTAATCAATAAAGAAAATTTGACAAAGTTTTAACAATTTCTTCATGAAAAATGTTGGCTTTTCACCAGTCGAATTCTTCCTTATCCATCTTAGATGTAGAAAGACGCACACACACACACACCTCCATGAAACATATAGAAGCGAGAAGCCTAACGCAACACTTATTAAGCGTATCACTGATGTTGTAGAGCTGTAATAATAGTGTCGAATAACTGAATTTCCTAATGTGACATTTTTCCCACATTGTTGAATAAATGTCATGTTATGCTTCTCACTTCTTTATGTAATATGTTACGTCGAAGTAGGACCCTTCCCCGAGGGCTGTTGACAAAGTCTATAAATATGTGTAACATAAAAATAAAAAATAAAAACAAAACAGATACTCAGAGAGCACCAGGTAGCATAAGAGCTCATAAATTGGTGATAGTTACTAACTTCAAACCATTTGGGAGTGTTGTATATTCGCTTTCAGGTATTTTTGATCCTCTCAGCTGCGCCAAAAGAAAGAAACTTTACAAACTCAGAATTGCAAAATTTTTCTTCTATTTCTTTCCCCCTCAAAATAGTCAAGTTAATTATCTAGAAAAAAGAAAAAAAATAAACAACTCACTGCTCTTCTACTTGTGCTAACAGCCTCAGCCACATCACAAAGATACATCCCAGCAGCTAAAATCCATAATTAAATCCAATAAAAAAAAGTGAATACGGGAAGGTACAAGGCATCAAGATATATATTTTGAAGAAATTTTGAACACCCACTTGATATATATGAGAGAGCCAACCAAGGCCCTCCTTGCTTGACATTGTGAAGATTGGTTGGTAGCTTTCGAAGAATCATCTGAGGAAGAAAATGAGCATTGACATTGAACCACATGTAAATTATTCCTCTTGGACGGTATTTTTCCTGTTGAATTAATCGAGACTAAAAATGTAAATGAAACCCAAAAGAAATGTCCTTTATAGAATATGAGTGAGAGAGAGAAAGAGAGAAAGAAAGTACTTGTAATGGGGATGGAGATAAGCGGCTTATGCAGAAGATTTGGGCTGTGAAAGTAGCATGGAAGAAGCAAGTGTCCCATGTTTTAACGTTAACTAACTGGTTAGATTTTAGAGCTATTGGTTATTAAAGACCAGGATGAGATTTGTTGGTTATGTGCCGTTTTGTGTTGGTTGAGAGAGAGAGAGAGAGAGAGAGAGAGAGAGAGAGAGAGGATAGCATTCTCAATTTCATCCACAACTTTAGAGGCCTTAAAATCACAATGTCATGATTCTCCTTATTCACAATTTCCATTGCTTTTAAAATCTGGGCTCCACCATAAGTCCATAGCTACGGATATCAGGCTTTTTCCTTGGGAAAAAAATACAGAATTTCTTGAGACTATACCAATGTACAATTGAATCCAAATAAAGGGGGGGGAAAAAAAAAGAAAGTAAGAAATTTGCTATTCGAAATAGTGTATTATCAAAAACGACAAAATGCCGTGGCGTAAAAGTGCTTGATTAGAGCGCAAACCGAGCGGCAAACCATCATTTTACTGCTCGGTTGGAGATGCTCTTATAAAGAGTGGAAAGTGCAATATATATATATATATATATATAGTGTATTATCAATTGAGTTATTTTTAATATCTTAGCACAAAAGTCCCCTAAAAAAAATGTCGTTTAAATGCAAAAATTGGATGGTTATATTACTTGGTTGCTCATTGGGACCATCTTTTTTGCCGTCTATTGTTTGCTTATAATAATCCTGACCAGTAAAGGAACAGAAAACAAATCAAAAGAAGAATTCTCGTAATCATTTTCTATTTTATTGAGATGAATTGTCAATGAAGGATTATAGAAATAGGCCACTACATATGAATTTTACACTTCTTAGGCACCTAACCAACAAAAAGACCATACACATGAGATCAAACAAAAGAAACTTTTATCATTAATTTTTATTGTTCTTTGATGCGTGAATTTATGCTCGTAAGTGCACGAGTCGCCTCAAATAATAAAGTGTGAATAAGAGTGTCGATCTCACAAAAAATGTGTTTAATTTTCATTAATGACCGAAATTAATCGGCTCTAAGATTATTTAAACAACCGGAATAAATAACAAACAAAGCAAAGTAACAAAAATAATAACTAAATAATAAAAGTGCAATTTAGAGATGAGGATCGAATGGAACTCTGATGATAATAAAATGGCTAGGAGCTTTGATCTCTCTCTACTAAGCTATGTTGATATCCAATTCCTAGGCTCGTCAATTTATTTCACTCTCATTAGTCTAGGTTTTCGAAAATAATTCACTCCCTCGGGTCCGAGTGCCAAGTAAAATAGTATGCAAAACCAATTAAGCAATATCCCTATTAGCCTAACCAAATCAAGCATCTATTAAGCAAACCTAATATTGACTACTCGAATTAATTGGCCTCCCGAATTCAATTAACTCTAAGTTGTGTTTCTCAATCCTAACATGTGAAAGTAACCCTCCCGAGTCTAAATCCACACATCTATATCTCTAATTCATGAAAACACAAATTAGAACAATTAACATAGAGAAACACAAATGAATTGAAGTGAAAAGCACATTAACAAGCACTTAGAATATTCAAAGCATAACAACGTTAAAACTATATTAAGCCCCTAGCTCTAAGAGTTAAGCTAGAACAAGACATTAAGAATCCCAAATGAAAAAGCATAAACAAACCAAAAACTAAATCCATAATCGATCACAAATCTCAAAGAATAACACAAAACTCAAAGCTAAAATAGATGAAGAGAGAAAGAGAATGAAAAACTAGACGCCAATCTTCAATCTTCCTTCGGATCTTCAAGCAAGCCCTTGAATCCTTGTATTCTCCTCTTTAGGGTTTTGGGTTTTTTGGTCTCTAAAGAGCCCCTTTAATTCTCAACACATTTCCTATTTATACCTCCTCAAAATCAGTACAAAAGAGGCCTTAAAATGACTACAGTACTCGTGGAGGCGTTGCAGCGGATAATTTTCCCGCTGCAACGCCGCTTAAGATTTCTGAAAAACCCTAGTGGCACAGGCTCACCCACAGCAGCGGATGAATTTCCCGCTGCAGTGGGTGTGTAGTTTTCCTGCTCTCGGGCAGGAAATCTGCTGCAGCGGATGTATGAATTTGAGGAGAATTTTCACCTTTTATATGGCCGAATTAGTCTTTGGTATCTTCACGAAAGTTGTAGTTCTATCTCTTATCTTTCCAACACCACTAAGATCACCTCATTTGAACATAAGAGAGTTATGCTCCAAATATTGAAGTATGTTCCAAAGTCAAATTTTCGCTCATTTTATTCCATTTTAACTTCAACTTACAAAAACAAAATAAAAACACATTAAACTAACAAAAATGTTTAAAAACTTATAAATACTCGAGCTCAAAAGTACTTGATACTCATTCATCATTCTTCTAAAAATATCACCTTACAAATTTATGATTTACATGTATTATAATTCCTTCATGCGCTAGAGTAAGACCTTCTTCCTTGTAGTTGTAGATGTTCTTCAGCCTCATATGGAACAGAATGCCTTCGAAAGCACTTAACTTCATGCCTCTCTCTCTCCTCAACCTTCCCTTTTTCCTTCTCACTACCTTCCACCCATCTTCTAAGCCTCTTTAGTAATTTCTTCCTTTTTGAACAAACTTGGTCATTGTGCTCCAAAGTCATGCCATCCAATTCTTGCTCTAAGGCATGATTTTCAAGTTCAAAATTTCCTTGGAGATCTATTTCCCATTCAGCCTTCTGCTGAGTACGGTTTTGATGTTCTTGATTCATCAAAAACTCATTCCTTATGCATGAATTACTCCATTCTTGATCCTTCTTTAGCTCCTCTAATTCATTTTCAGGCCTATTTTCGTCTTCCGATGTCATCCCTTTGGCTTCAATCTGCGTCATGGAAAATCATAAAATGCGTAAACTATCAATAATCAATTCAATGAGCACATAAACAAGGCTTATATTTCCCTTTCTTAATGGTAGAGAAAGAGTTTCTAAACCTTGGAGGATGATGAGGCTGATTTTTCTTCCGATTCCAGCTTATTCAAAAGCTCATTCTTCTCTTCCTGCATTTGATCCAAAACCATTCTCAGCTCCCCAATTTCATCCTCCAATTTCTCGACATCATTAGTCCTCGTTTCTAGCGCTTCCCGGGTTTTTAAAAGCTCCGCTTCTCCAGCTCGAATCTTCAAATCTCTCTCTCGTATATGACTTGATTGCAGTCTTTTTCTCCTCAAGAGATTCTTTACCTTCCTTTCAAGCAATCCACTTTTTGATTTCCAATACTCAAGTTGCTCCAAAAGTCTTGAATAATCCGCAAAGAACTTCTCAAGCCTTCTGCTTTCATCCTCCATTAAGGAAATCTCCCTATCCAATAACTCAATTTGAGCCATCTCCAATAGCATCATGTTCATCAGCTTCATAAGCACAGACTCTTGCTCTTTCAATTCACTGTACCTCATAAACCGCATCTCCAACTCCGATTCTCTCTTCTGAAGATCTTCGATTCGGCGCTTTAGGCCTAAAATCTCTTCCTCCAAATTATATTCAGCAGAAGGAAAACATGAGCTGAGGCTATAGAAACTCTCATCACATCCAAACTGAGAATCAGCCTCCATTGAATTCGCTCGAGTTTCTGAAGTTGGGTCCTTAGGAACATCTCTTCTAGCCGCAATCCTTGCGTATATAAAAGCAGCCGCAGATAAAGTTAGAGGAATACCAGCTTTGAAGAGAAATGGCTTCATGTTTTCTAATTTTGATGATGAACTCGCCATCTTTGTAAAAAGAAGGCAACAAAAATGAGGTGATCAAATACAAGGGAAATTCAGTTTCTTGAATGCTAATATTATGATCTATGGAGATCAAATTATGCTTGTTTTGTATACAAAATTTTCTTGAAGATTCCTTACCTTTAGTGTCTTCTTTAGCTTTCCTTTATTCATAGGTATACACATATTATCTTTGCTTTTAGTGTACTCCATATATAGATATATATAGCCTTCCTTTCCTATAACCACTTTACTCATCCACTTTCCAGGTGCTGTGTTTCTTTGGAATCTCATTCCTTATAGCGGTTTTAATTAGGACATTTTTTGTTCATTGATTCGCATTGAGGTGTAATTTTATGTGAGAACTTTATACTGTAGTAAAAAAATTAGATGTGACTGTTTTTTAGAGCTTTTTACTGTAGTAAAACTCGAATCGGTGAAATGAACGGAGAGTGATTTCAAGAACGATGAGCTACTTTTCTTCAAAGGCATACATTTGTTTAAGCGTTGGCAACCACCATTCACAATCACATTGCCCCCCAAAACTTATAATATTAAATTTAAGCAATGAAGTTCTCAACACGTAAATGGAGTTCTATAACATGAAACAATCTATTTTGCTTCCGATTCTACTTTAAATAATAGTTTTGTTTCTATCTTTTTTCCCCTCTTTCAAGCTCAGGCATTAAGCTTGGCTAAATTATTCTAGTCAATTAAAATCAGTCCCTTTAAGATTGTTATCCTGAATCAAGACTCTCTAACATGCCACAGAACCAAAAAATAAAAATAAAATAAATAAAAAAACTACAGTTCTAGTCCTCCTACTATATTCCTTGTTCTTTTTTTAAGAATCTCTCTAAAACAACCGAGTGGGTGATGACTTGAATCTTATTTTTAAAGTCTTTCTGTGGTGTCTTCACGGCACCGTGTCCATCAACAAGCTTATTTTAATTTTTACAATTTCATTATTTAAAATTTATAAGTTTCAACATAAAGTTTATAAATTACCGTATTTCTGACACGGTGCTCAGAATTTTTCTCCTAGTATCATAAAAGTTCTCTACTGCTCCATTTGTTTCGAAGGTTCTGGTCTGATTCTGAGTCATGATTCTTGGTTCACTATAGTGTTTTACTCTCACAAAAAATTTAAATTTCAAAAATCAGAATCATGAACCATAATTCTGAACCCATAAACTAAACGTTACCTACTTTTAAGGGGTAACATCTTCAGTCTTGTCGTAAGAGTTTATGACTGAGATGTTCATTTAAGCAAGGCATGCATCTTTTTTATACGGGAAGAAACAATATCCACGCAGGAAGAGACTTTTCTCTTTTTTTTTTTTCATCAAAAGAAGGTGAACATTTGAAAAAAGAGTTAGGACACTATTAATGAAAAACGACATCATTTGAAAAAATGATGATATAGGAAAACGACAAGAGCTAAAGGGGAATAAAAGAAACTATTTGCGACAAAAAGTAAAAAAGTAAACAAAGAAACAAAAGCGAGAAGCTGAAAATTACATTATTTGAAAAACGAATGATTGTGTTTGGAATTCGTTCTAAAACGTTTTTATTTTTTGTATGAAAATGAAAATAAAAACGTTTTCATTTTTATTTTGGAATCATTTCTGAAAATGTGTTTGGTAGTTTTATTCCGAGATTGTTTTCAGTTTAAAAAAACTGAGACTGTATTTGGTGATTTAATTTTTAAAAACATGTAATAATATTTAAAAGAATAATATAATAAATAAATAATAATATATTAAATAAATAAAAATATTAAAAATATTAAATAAACATTACACACATGATTTCTAAAAGAGGAAATGGGTTTCGGAGAAGAGTTGGGGGGGGGGGGGGGGCAGAGAAGAACGAAGGGAGAAAATGAAAATGGATGTAATCCGTTTTTAGAAAAAAAAGTGAGTTTTTGAGAAAAATCTAAAAACGTTTTTGTTTTTGGTTTTGATACGGATCCTTCCCAAACACATTTTCCTTTTCCGTTTCAAATTTTCCTCCTTAGAAAATATAAAAAACGAAAATAAAAACAAACGGGCACGAAAATAGCAATCAAGAAAAACGATACTACTCACAAAGAACAACAAACTAAGACTACATCATTCAAGAAAAACGACAATAAATTAAAAACATCATCAAATGGAAAACGAAAAAACAAAGCAACAGGTTGACGATAAACAACATCAACATAAAAATGTTAAAAAACGACAACAATTTACGAACGTGTTACGTAAGCCAGATCATTCCCCAAATTTTCTAAGCATTTGGTTAGGTTCTTAATTTCTCAATTCTTTTTCTATTCAAAAGCAAAATTTTGTAATTAAGTAAAACCTATGAAGTTTTCTATAGAGAGAGAGTGCCTGGATTCCTTCAACATGGACTTCGAACAATTCAAATATTACTTTCGTTTTATTAAATTTCTTTAAAAATATGATTTCAAATATTCACCGAAAAATTATAGTTTAGAGAGAGAGAGAACTAGTTTCATCCACAAAACCAGGATTCTTTCGACATGGACTTTAAACAATTTTCAAATATTATTACTTTTGTTTTATTACATTTCCTTAAAAATATAGTTTCAGATACTTAATAAAAAATTATAGGTTTTACTCTTTTTTTTTTCAACTTCCTTTTAGTGATTAAAAGCATAATCAAATTAATGAGTCTGGTTGCATTGTTTTTATTTTTCTCATTTACAAGCTGATTATAATAAGGGAGAAAGAGGAAAATAGGCCAAGATTTGAAATCATATAAAATTAATAGGCCAATAGTTTACATAAGTTAATAAATATGCCAAATTACTGTTTTCGTCCATAACTTGTCTGGTTATGAACCATAACTTGACAAGTTATTCCCGATTTTTGTCCATAACTTGTCTGGCTATGAACCATAACTTGACAAGTTTGTCCATAACTTATCTGGTTATGAACCATAACTTAACAAGTTATGGCCTATTAATTTTTATAACTAAAAATTAGCCTATATACTTTCTTAAGCTTTTCATAGTGGCCTATTTCCTATTATTTTCCTTATAATAATATTCCAAAACATTTTATTTTCTGCAATTTAATGCGATGGAGGGGAAGCCCAATTTTCCGTCAAATTTTCAAAGCCATCGGATGGAATATGACTTTACAAAGTTACGTATCTTATTTATGAGTGATTCATGCATGCATAATCGGTTCACCTTATTTGATTTTATAGCGGACTCTCAAGTATTTGCAGTCATTACTTATTTATTGCACCTCTCAAGTCGTGATATTTTTTTTTTCAAGGCTCGATTTAATATTAATTTTCAAAAGGAAAAAAAAAATTGTGGATTGGGAATTCGAACTCTGCACCAATAGATTTGATTTACATTAAGGTGGCCAGGTGGATCCACCACTTAATTAATTAACAATTAATCCAACAATAATGAGTAGTGGTATTTTGCCTTCATTATTTCTGCTTTGAATGGGTCCTTTAATTAATAATTACCAATAGATTCGAGATGCGAATCGTCAAATTATTGTTCTTGCTCTTCGACGCCTCTTTGAATGGGTCCTTTGGTTGCTGCTTCCTTAGTTTTTTGCATTCATTATTTCTGGGTTTTTTTTTTTTTTTTTTTTTTTTTTTTTTTTTTTTTTTTTTTTTTTTTTTTTTTTTTTTTTTTTTTTTTTTTAACTTTGTCTTTGTGTTTCTCAGAGTTTCTCTTGATCTTTCCTTTTTCGGATAAACATGAATAAGAAAAGCATAGTAGAGCTCACAAGGAATATCAACAAAAACAAATCGCTTATTTTCACTATTTTGACATAATGTGCTATTTTTTTATATATAAAAACCTAATTTTTGTACTTCATAATATATATATATATATATTTATATATAAGAGAAATGTGAGGGGATCAGTTTTTATTAGGTTTGTGAATTTCTCTTTTTACAGTCTGCAATATTCAATATGAATGAAGTCTCATATAGGATAAAAAGTAAAGAGAGAAGAGTGAAATATTAGGCTGTGTTTAGAATTGATCCCGTTTTTCTTTTTCATGTTTTTCGAGAAAGAAAAAATGAAAATGTTTCTAAAACGACATTTGGTGCAATAAAGACAAAAAACAAAAATGAAAATGATTTTTTGGTTTAGTGTAAAATGAGAGAGAAATGAAAAATGACTTTTAGTCGTTTTTCATTTTTTGTTTTCGTTTCCTCCTCTCTCGGGCAGAGAGAAAGAGATAGAGACATTAATGAGTTTTTTTATACTAAAAATAATTTCTTGATAAAACTAACAAATGCATTTTTAAAAACTGATTTCTGTTTGAGATTGCAAACGTTTTCATTTTTATTTTCACACAAAAATAAAATTATTTTAAAATGAGTTTCAAACGCGCTCTAAAAGTTCTTGGTTTGCTCGATAAAGAAGAAATTAGGGAGAGGAGAGAGAAGACAGAATACTTTCAACTCAAGTTATAACGGTAGATTAAACGGAGAAGTCTCTTGAAACGTTTCCAAAAATTTTAATGAGTTGGCATAATTTAAGTGGTTGGACACAATTTAGGACAGAAAAAATTTAGACAGAGGATCCAAGTCGAAAAGATGGCTCCTCTAGTACTACTATCTAGAACCACACTTAAATTGACTTTTGAAATCAAGATCTTACACACAAAAATTGTAGTTTCCAAAATTATTGTCAATTATTGTTTCGTAAGACCAATTATTGTCAATTATTGCTTCGTAAGTAAGTAAGACCAAAGAATTTAACACTCGTTACTGTTGAAATATTTTTACGTAGACTTTCATAATTATAATAATTCATTTTATTATGAATTAAAGTATCTCATAGATAATTGTGTTAATGTGAATTAATAAATACATGTATATTAAATATCAATTCATAATAAAATAGACACTCAATTTATTAACTAGTGTCTGATAGGCCGGCTTGATTTCATAAGAGCTACACGCCCTTTTGTTTTTGGGGTAGCTGTCATGGACAATTTGTGTGCGGGGATGTGACG